GTGGTTTCCTATGTAAATACATTCTAAGGCCTGCAGCTGGAATGCATTATATTAAAAACACATGTTAAAAGTTACAAAGTACTTGTGCTGGGGAAATGGTTCAGCAACTAAGAGTGTTTTCTGCTGTGTGAAGGACCTAAGATCAATTCCCAGCACCCTTTTTGGGTGCTTACAATTGCTCCAAGGAATTTGACACCCTCTTCTGGCCTCAGTTATTCTTACACACACACCTACACACAAGGCATATACTACACACATACACATAAATAAAAACAAATCTTAAAAGTCACAAAGTACCAAGTATTTATTATGGGCCTTCAAAGTAAATCTAAATAGTCATGCTAAAGGATATTTGGTGCTTCCAAAACTATTTTAGGTTTTCCATCTATAAGCCAAATATTTTGAAAACAGCAACCTGCTAATACTCACATTATCATTGAACTATGACCCCTGAGGCACTGTCAATCACCAATTTCAGTGAATGTGATTTGAAAATCTAAAAACAGATGCTTACTGAGACACAAAGATAAATGAGACACCCTTTAATACATTTCAAAGCAGTATTAGTGTTGGACAGTTTGAAAACAGAGGACACACATCTGCCAAATTCCTCAGCAGAGCAGAAAGCAGAATTTTGAGGGCAATTGCCATTCCAGGCAGCATCTCTCAGAGGTTCTATATTAGGTGCTCCCAAACAGGATCTGTGGAATGTAGCTGCATCTTTGCTCGTCATTACTGAATGTTCCCAACATGAAAATTTCATAGTTTAGGTACCAATGTACAATGCTGAGATAGAAGAGAAGACCAATTATCCAACCCCTTATTATAGTTATACTAAATGTGAATTTTAACAAATCCATTCACCAACTCTCCTTATCATAACTAGTAGATTTTTCCATTTTAACCATATTTCCAAAGGCTGAAACCCAGGATGTATTTAATCTTTATTAATAGTTTTCCTCCATAACTGTTTGGGAAGAATACTTTAATCTCACAAAGAGAAGAAATCCATGATAAGAGTTATCAAAATAAGTGTTTACACAGATATCAGCCAAATATGTAGAAAATCACACATTCTCCTAATTCACTAGTTACCTTCAGTGTGTACATTTACACTGTGGGCAGCATGCTCCCTTACACTCCTGAGCCAAATTAGATTCTATCTGTTGAAGGTATACTTTTGAGAAGCCTTTACATTTGTAAGGTAAATAAAAACACAAACTTAACCACTGAGAAGTTAACCACAGTGGCTGTCTGCCTCCATTCACTATTGGTGTGCCAATTGTCTTCCTTTGTACTTCTTACAGATACTTATTTGTTCTGGCATAGTACATCATCAATCAGACACATTTTTATTTAACTGATAAAGTGTCATGTTTTATGGAATCATAGTTTTTGAACTTGTCAAAATCTGTTAGAATGTGGAAAAGGTATGTTCAAAGTGATTCCACATACAATGATATAAGTGTAATTACAGTTCATTAAACATTTAACATAGAAGAATAAACTAAACACAAACTCATGTTTAAGTTTGGATGAGACTCCATATATATTCAAAGGAGATATTATGCATCCATATTTATCATTTAATTAGGAAGAACAAAGATTCTGGAGGGGAAATGCCCAGAGTTGGAACTGTACTGTGCCATGAGTAAGCTGGGAACATCATAGACTCCATCTAATGCAGCACTTCTCTGTGCCATAAGCTAATGTCTTTCTATCTCACTGGAGTGGGAGCATTAAATGAGATCATGGAAGAGAAGTGTGGAAAGCAGCAAGGACACACGAGAAATAGCTGACCCCAGGGTAACTTGTAGTTTGTGTGGCTACTGCTGTCTAGCACCTACTTCACATTTCTCAAAAAAACATATTTCCTCCTGATTTCACTGGATATAGAATTGACTAGAAGTTTCCCTTTTGATGTATTTTTTATTACCAAAAACTTTCTGAATTAAATTCTCTCATATTCCTGATCCTAAACTCTGAATTTAATCTTTAGTTAATGATATAGGGTTACTGTTTATATTCTTATGCCATTGATCACCATCACAGTAGGGAAGAGGACAGGCTACATTTTTTTTTTCTGGCTCTAAAACATTCAGAGTCTAAGAGGCTCACACAAACACCAGACGAGTTGTTGTTTCTAGTGTTGCTTCTATTTCGTAAGAGATAAGGTTGTTATTATTTCGAGTTAGATTAATATACAATTTTGATGTCATGTCGCACTCATTTATTTATCAGAAAGTCTCTCAGGCTGTCGTCTAATCAACTCCTCTCACCTTCTCAGCTAACTTACTGATGCACATTAAGTCAAAACAAAGATAAGTAAAGAACTCAGCCAGAACAAAGATGAGCATGTGAGTGAAATACAAAATACTGTATTTTCAGGGTTGGTTTTTTTTTTTTTTTTTTTTTTTTTTTTGTTCTTCCTCTTCTTCTTTTTCTCCTCCTCCTCCTCCTTCTTCTTCCTCTTCCTTGTCTTCTTCTTTTTTCAGAGGATTTAGAATTACAACATAAGAATCACTCTCCTTTGCAATATGCCAAAGGGCAAGACACCCAGCAGAGAACCTTCCACTGTCACGCAAGACATATCCCCACTACGATAGTGGAAACATCCCAGGGACTTTGTTCAACGCGAGTCCTTCTCACTAGAGCCTCCCTTGCAAGAAGACAGATCACTGGAAAATTGTTTTCTGGTTTTTAAATATTTAAAGAAAAGCAGAACTTCTACTTTCCATTGTATATAAGAATTACTTCTTGAGATGTCTCCATAAATGTAGGCCTTAGCATTAAAAGCTTTTAATTTGACTGGGAATGAATCATGAGATAACAAATGTCTTCACATACCACAAGAACACATTTTTCATAAAAGAGAATGTCCCTGCACATATCCTGAAAATATATTTTCCTTAAACAAAACACAAAATTTCTCAAGGAAATGGGATAGAAACATTTTTCTTCCAAAAGCATTCAAGCTAAATAAAATTAATATGATTTTTTCTATAATATATCACTTTATGGCAGATTTCCCCATAAAACAAAAAGAAATTATTATCTCTTTAAATATCAGACTGAACTCAGTTCTAATACCAGGCCAAACTGAGATCTTGTAATGCTCATGAGGAGTCAGGATGGAGAGACTCTTTCGGAGAGCTCCTTTGAAACCAGAGACCAACAGTAGGGTTACAGTGGATGTGAAGAAGGGTACTAGCAAAGTTCCTTACTGAGAGTTCACAAAATGTCTTGGTGATGATAAAGCCAAGTAAGTCTACTGGAGTGGTACTCAACACATATGCAGCATTTGCATGCAAATTGGCCATCTCATGCCAACAATCTTAATTTGAAGTTTTGATGAGACATAAATCAGAGTTCAGTAAGCCAGAAACGGAATACTATATATCAAACACAGAAGTTCTACAATGTCAGGCAACACATGGGCTATCTTTCTTATCTGAATCCCTTGAATGAAGCTTCTGGTACTGGGAGATGTGGAGGAAATTGTTCGTTTAGCTAAGTATCCAGTTTCTGCAGAAGAGACTTCCCATGTTATTATCAAGTGCCTGTTTGGTTACCCAGCTCTCCATATTCTGCACACTCTCCTCCAATCTTGCATGGACCAATTCCCATCTCTGGCACAGTCCATGAGAATGGATAAGATGACTCAGCATCACAGTGATCAATACATATGTATCCTGAGAAGAATCTTTAAAAATACATAACTGAGAAAATGTAGATCCTTCCATTACCTCAGCAGTGTCACTTTGGATTGATTATTGTGACAAATGATTTACTGAATCTTAATCTCTTAAGAATATCCAAGGACATTTATGTCTTTCTCCATCAACTCACTGTTAATTTAAAAAATATTTTTTGATGTTGGTAAATATTTATGTAGTGTCTCATTTACTAGAGATTGGCCTATAGCTACCAGAAGCTTCTAGCATATAACAAATTGTCCTGAAAATTTCAGGAAACATTCAACATAGTGTCTAGATTTGTATCCTTACAAAATGCCTAGGGTTAGCATGGCCAAACAGTCAGTTATTGAGTCTAGGAGTCTGGCTGTCCCATTCTAATCCATCCTGGATAGATTTGGCAGTGTCCATTGTAGAAGTATTTTTGCTCTGAAACATCAATAGAAGTAATGCAGTCCCTTATACTTGGTTACAACTTCTACATCAGGTGCAGAAAGTCAAGGACTCAACCTTGGCTCAACCCTTGGTTGTCACTGATATTGGGACTAGGTCAAAAGAGTACTGGGACACTGGCATTATTTCTTCCCACTGAAACTGACCTCTTTCCCAGTCTCTTCTGCCATCCCACTGCAAAGTTACAAAATGTAGATATTCCCCTATTCCACGGTGAAGGATTCACACCAACAGCAAATATCTACAGCTCACTACCATGGAGTCTTACCATATCTCGCCAAATGGCATCTTGGACACTAAATAGAGTGTCATTTCATGAACAAGTCCAGTGGGTCTACCCATTCAGAATATTCAGACACCTGTTCTTTCTTCTTCTGATTCATGTCACAGGTTAAATCAAAGGAGCTACAGTGAAATAGGAATGCTAGAAGGGGACGGGATTTTCTTCCACATCTCAAGTACAATACAGCTGGGTTTTAATGGCATCCACTTAAGCTATACTGCCAAGGGCTAGACTTATTCCTTGCCTGCCTCTTTCCATGCATATTAACACCCAGATGAACTTAAGTCAAGGAAAACAACACTGACAAAGAAGAAGCAATGGTGGAGGTTCTGGACATAGTTGCCAGTGAATAAAATAATTGGGGCACTCATTCTTTCTGTCCAGTTTTACCTATTCTTCCTAAGTGAATCTTACTTAATAATGCATTCTAAACTTCCACTCCTTCCTTACTATCTGTAGAAGGGTCCAAGGAGACACACCTAATCCATAACCCATTTCTGTTTGTCTTCAAATGAAAGTTCACACTTCAGCAGATGGCCCCTACAACTGGAAAGTACAAAAATACTCACTTGTTTAGCCTTTGTCTTTGAGATTGTATCAGAAATGGGTTTCTTTCTTTCCTTTACTGCAGTTTTAGAAAATAATTCTTCAAATTCATGACAATCTATGGATGGCTCTTCGATCTTTTCCCAAATAAGTGAAGGACTTGAATCTCTAAAATCAAGCAAAAGAACAATAAACAGGCCATTCAAAGTCCTATAGCATGAAGAGCAAAAACAGAGAGGATGAAGAAAAGGAGGGGGAAAGGAAACACAAGAAGAAAGATAAGGAAGGAAATGTCTTATCAACTTGATTAAAAAGTTAAAATGTCATGTATATGAATGAGACATTTGTCTAGCAATTATTTTCCAAGTCATTTATTTATCAAGTCATTTCATGAAAATATCAAAGAAAAGTCTCTCTCAGAATGGGCTAGGGGAACAAGGAATGCTTGATTTCTTATATCCTAATTTGACTTAGCCTAGTAGGTTATTTGAGGATTAACACAAAATAAAAGCAAAAACAAACAAAACCAAAAGAACAAACCAAAAAAAGAAAAATGTATTTCTGAGGCCTGGTAAGGTAGCATACACCTATAATTCCAGCTAAAGAGGCAGAGGCAGGTGAATCTCTCCATGAATCTAAGGCCATCTTGGGCTGCACAGCAAATTCTAGGCAGAGCCAGGACTGGATTGTGAGAGCCTATCTCAAAAATTAATTAACTGATTGATTAATTAATGCATGCATAATGTGTACATGTGTTCATGCCTGCATGTATATATGTGTGTATATATGTGTATGTGTACATTTCTAGAGCTGGGGAGATGGCTCAGAAGTTGAGCATTCTTACTGTCCTCGCACATAAATCTGAGCTCAATTCCCAGCACCCACATGAGGCAACTAACAACCATCTGGATCTTTAGCCCCGGCAGATTTAACACCTTCTTGTAGCTTCCAAATATATATATATATATATATATTTGTGTGTGTGTGTGTGTACTATGCATACATACATACATACTTACAAATAAAGAATTTAAAAAGTCAATCATATATATATATATATATACACATATATATATATATGAAAAAGCTCTCTATATGTACATTGCCACCCAACTGCCCACTATCATTTTCCTTCTCAATACCTACATGTTTGTGCAATGCCATTAAGAAAGAATAAACATCATTTAAAAAAAAGCGAAATAATGGAACAAAGCATCATGACCTGGAGAAAAAGAGTTTGACTACAGTTTAGAAAGATTCATTAATGTCTGTAAGTGGTAAGACACTCAGGCAGAGAATGGACTGGAAAAAGGAATCAGGGATCTCAGTGTATCCTCTCTTGGATGGATTTAGTGAAGAGAAAAGCAATATAAAAAATGCAAAGAAATGCTATTCCTAAATGCATGTCACTCTGATCAATTACATCAAACAATTATGATCAATCAGAATAAAAAGAGCCAATGCCACTTAAAGTGTGTGTTTTTACACCTTCCCCCCTTAATAATGAAGCCTCACATTGTCTCCTTGAGACTGAGGAACAAATTATGTGTGGACAGGCAGTTTGCAAGCTGAACACTTAGTGAAAAGGTCTTAGTTCATAATGGTCATTGACAATCTTGACCATGTGACTGTGATTTGCCCTTGTTTCTTTAGAAGTGCCAGAGTATTCTCAAAGTTACTTTATACACAAAGTTACTTTTGATGTATGATATTTCTTTAGAAAGAGTTCTCTTTAGAAAGAGAATCATAATGAAAGTTTGTACCTCTTAAATGTATAGAACTCATCCTGGAGAGCTGGTTTGCCTATGGATTTGATTTACATTTTTAAGCCATTGGGCAAATATAGAAATTTAAATAGTCAAAGCAAAGAGTGTAAACTAATTTTGTAACAAATATGTCTGCTTCTCTGCTCTGGCTACTTTTGCAGATAAGCCTTGTTTTAGGTGGTTGAGTATAGAGAGCAGTTAAATACTCTAACTACAGGCAAAAATACTTATGCTAAGAAAAATAGACCACAAGCTTAAAACAAATAACTCTATAAATGGATATAATGTACATCTCAGTCAGAGCTGTACACATGTCATTTTTATGTTCTTTGATACTATAGAAGAAAAGTCTACAATGTTAAATAAATTGCTTCAGGAAACACTGGAAGTCAAAATCTTACAAAAGTCTTATAGGTGTACTTAAAATCCATTAAATTCTACTTCTGTAACAAGGTTCTACAGTAAGGGATAAGCTTGCTTTGGGGTTACCTTTTACTATGGAGTTGAATTCTTGTCCAATAAAGAGGCTTCATTGGCCGGCAAGGCTCAATTGGCTGTTTCCTAGCCCCTCTGTCCTGATTCATCCCCAATCCAAATATGCCAGTTGGCAATGGAGGAAAAAGAAATCCACACACTTGCGGTGCTGGTAAAGTGCTACTCCCAACTTGGGAAGAGAGTGAAGGCCCTGAGCCAGGCAAAAGAGGGGGTTGAGGGATGCCTGCCCCAGGGGGAGGTGGGGCTGGGGGAACCCCCATACCTGGTAGAGGAGGAGGTGGAGGAATAGCAACTCCAGGTAGGGGAGGAGGAGGGGGTATGCCCACTCCAGGAAGAGGAGGGGGAGGAGGTATGCCCACTCCAGGAAGAGGAGGGGGAGGGGGTATGCCCACTCCAGGAAGTGGAGGAGGAGGGGGTATGCCCACTCCAGGAAGTGGAGGGGGAGGGGGTATGCCCACTCCAGGAAGAGGAGGGGGAGGGGGTATGCCCACTCCAGGAAGTGGAGGGGGAGGAGGTATTCCTACTCCAGGAAGTGGAGGGGGAGGAGGTATTCCTACTCCAGGAAGTGGAGGGGGAGGAGGTATTCCTACTCCAGGAAGTGGAGGGGGAGGGGGTATTCCCACTCCAGGAAGTGGAGGGGGAGGAGGTATTCCCACTCCAGGGAGAGGAGGGGGAGGGGCTATGCCCACTCCAGGAAGTGGAGGGGGAGGGGGTATTTCCACTCCAGGAAGTGGAGGGGGAGGGGGTATTCCCACTCCAGGGAGAGGAGGGGGAGGGGGTATTCCCACTCCAGGGAGAGGAGGGGGAGGGGGTATTCCCAGTCCAGGGAGAGGAGGTGGGGGAGGGGCTGGCAGCATTTCTGTTCCCTGTAGACTGGTAGGTTGTGGGGCTGTTGTACTGGGCAGAGCAGGCACTGTTATGTCAGAGAGACAGGGAGGTGGGGGAATTGCCATGCCCAGGCCAGGCATGAAGCTGGAGGGCTCTGTACAAGGCAGAGGTGGTGCAGGTGGAATATTACAGCTGTTTTCAGAGGAGAAAACAGAATGTTCATGACTGGTTTCCAACTCAGTATGCAGAGAAGGGTGGGGGTGCTGCCCTTGACCATCAGGAGGCAGTGGGAGTTGTGGTGCACTCTGCAGGCCTGGTTGGGCATCAAGCTGTACGGATATTCTCCTTGGAGACACAATCAAAGAAATCTCTGAACAGAATTTTGTCTGAGGTCCAGAGGGTGAGGGTAGAACAGCTGACTCTCCACTTTGAACTACAGGTGGACATGGGGAACCTTCTGGAAGTGCTTTTAGAGTTGCCAATGTCAGGATGCCACCCTCTTCTGTGGGGGAAGTTTGTATTGACTTTGCCTGAAGAGTTCTCGGAGGCTGTGCAACCTTTCCATGCAATCTGAGACCATCCAGACCAACTTCTTCAGAGGCTGTGAATCCATTCTCAAGGCCTGGAAGACCCCTGGGCCCCTCCAAGTCTAGGGCTGGATATTGCTTTTCTAGCTCAGCTATTTTCGTCCTCAGATCCTCAATGGTCTGTTCCAGTTGCTGAATTACAGTTGCCTGCCCTTCAGACTTCACATTGAAAACTTCCTGAGAGACAAGGACAGGCACAGTTAGTAAGAAAGTGGGGAAAAAAAAATCCAAATCTCTAGAGAAGAATAGAAAATTCAACAAAGTCACACTGGGACTGCCTCTCCAGAAAGACCCTGTCACAGACTGAAAATTCCATGGGGACCCTCTTTCCCACCCTTGGATTTTAAAGTGGTATATACATCCTCCATAATAAGGTCCTTGTTTGTGTCATCTCCATACAACATCACTGAGAATGGGCAGCTGTGATGGTTAGGTGTAAATGTCAACTTGCCACACCTAGAATCAGCTGGGATGAGACTGTTAATGAAACATCCATATCAAGTTAGCCTGTAGGCATGTCAATGGGGGGCTGCCTTGATTACCTTCACTGAGGTGGGATGCAAATACCCACTGCAAATACCCACTCTGACTGGGCTCTGAACTGCACATAAATGAAGACAGCTGGCTGAGCAGAAGCAAGCAGCACACATGCATTCATTCATGTTTCTCTTAACTAGGGATGTGTCCTGACTCAGTGACTGACTGCAATTCAGAATTATAAAACACATAAATCCTCTCCTCTGATGACTTGCTTTTGGTCAGGGTGCTTTATCACTACAATGAAATAAAACTAGAATAGTACCCAAGAACAGGGAAGAACATTCCACAAGACAAATGTTTGCCTTCCTGACTGTGAATTGGAGCTACTAGGATATTTTCTAGAGACTTTACAAGCAATTCTGAATTTTAAAGGCAAGAACTAACTTTTAAAAGTGGCCAAAGTCGCTGGACGGTGGTGGTGCACACCTTTAATCCCTGCACTCGGGAGGGAGGCAGAGGCAGGTGGATCTCTGTGAGTTCGAGTCCAGCCTGGTCTACAAAAGCGAGTTCCAGGACAGGCTCCAAAGCCACAGAGAAACCCTGTCTTGAAAAACCAAAAGTTGTCAAAGCCTCCAATAAGTATATGTGAAGTATTGTTGATGAAATAAAACTCTATGGAGGTATACACTGTGAGTGCATGTCATAATCCTGATGTCACATTCACTACAATTTTAATATTTTATTCAAAGCATTTCAATAGGTAATCACTGATGGCTCTCCAGAAGTTATAGACACTTTAAATGGGTACGATTTTGAGGGTTGCATATGTTTTATGTAAACGTAGGCACACAAACCCTTACATCATGAGTTTTCAACAACATTCATACAAAAGACCAAAGTATTAATATATAAAAGTGGTGTCATATATTTTTAAGTAGTCCATGGCAAAAGAAATATCTATTACAGACAGTTCAGTTTCCCACTTTATCAATGTACCAATTCTCATACAATAATTATGATGCTATTAAGCATATGTAACCAAAACACAAAACTCTACAGCTCAAGCCCATCTTAACAAGTCTTTATTGTCCGGCTTTTTCATGTGACACTGGATTACTTAAATGTGTAGATCATCTCCATTTTCCTAGCATATGGGTAAAAGTTACTTCTAAATACTGATCAGTATTTCTCAAGTTATCTTGGGATATAGCTGTACTTCTTAACTCTTCCACCAATGGATATAACTTATCATTGAATCTGACAACCCGAGTTGGATTGCCAGAACCCACAGGCTAGAAGAGGAAACCTACTCCTGACAATTGTCCTCTGCCCTCCACAAGCACACTGTGACTCCCATGTGCCCATACACATAAAATAAACAAAGAAATGAAAAAGTGAAAGTGTAAGTTCACCGAAGAATGAAATGCAAGAAGTAAATTACAGAAGAGATTTCCCAAACCCAGTTCTTAAATCTTATTAACTAAGCTGATTCATTTTCATCACCAATTTAAATACAACAAAACTAGTATAAAATTAGAGACATCTAGAAAAATAAAGTGAAAGGAGAAAATGATTATGTCATAATGGCTTCACACTTCACACAAAGATTTATAGCCCCACATTCACAGACCATCTCCTCAAAACACAAGCCAAAAGCTAGTGGCAGCAGGAGTTATAGTAGAGGCAACAGGGGATATTTGGAGATTTTAAAATTCCAAATTACAAAGCCAATCAGCAAAATAGTCAAGTGCACATGGTGAATGATACAAGACAAACACTGCTGTAAAGGTTTGCCTTGATATGACTGCAGCCATGTTGTATCAAAACATCATGATTACTCCTAAATAGCATCCATTAGTCATCCCTCAAGAGTTTCCCAGCACTCTGTAAACAGACAGGGACTTCGGAGTGGTATGTGGAACTTTACGACTGGGCCCTAGTGCCAGGAATGTCCCTGACATTGATATTAGTGTGAAATAAACCAGGTGTGCTTTGACTTGGAAGAAGCCACTTTTGACTTCACCAACATATACAACTTTACTTCTGACTGTAATGGAGGGGATTTGTTGCTGTCGCTGCTGCCCAGGCCCACACTTCTGCATGAGTATCTAATAAATTGTGATCCTCAAGCTGTCTCCTCCTTCCATGCCACAGCATCCTGAGGCCAGCTCTCACACTGGGACTGGACTGCTCAGAACACTCAGTTGAGTGAAATCTACCCTACACAATGTTTTAACTATTGGCTCACCCAACCAACAGCTTTCTTCTTCTGTTTGTAGAAATGGGAAGAATATGAAATTTACAGATTACCTCGTAGCTGTGTTTGACATTTTATACAAATTCATGGGGAGATTGAGAAGTTAAAAATGGAGAGAGCCATCCTGAGTACGGCAGTGGGGATATGAAAACTTGAAGCTTCTCTGGAACAAGATTATAATTTGCACTCTAATTTGTAACTGTCACCCCAAAGGTTTCAGATTTCCAGGTAGGTTAAGAATCAAAACCCAAGCCAAGCCAAGCCAGGGAGTGGTGGTGCAAGCCTTGCAGGTCTTTAATCCCAGCACTCGGGAGGCAAAAGCAGGCAGATCTCTGTGAGTTCAAGACCAGCCTGGTCTACAAGAGCTAGATCCAGGACAGCCTCCAAAGCCACAGAGAAACCCTGTCTCAAAAAACCAAAAAAAAAAAAAAAAAAAAAAAAAAAAAAAAAAAGAAAGAAAGAAAGAAAAAAGAATTAAAAGCCAAAATGTTCATTTTAGAGGGACAGCCTTTTCCACTAAAACATCTTATTACTTATTAAGCAGTGATATGTCTTGTGTTCACTTTATCAGCAACAATGCCCAACTGACAGAAAATATACCAATATTTCAGATTTAATTGTGTGCATGGCGGGGCAGTGGTACCTGTTCCAAAAGAGCAAAATTTAAAAGGTAAGTTTGTTTGGGGCTGGAGCTCAGTGGCAGACTCCTTGCCAGGCATGCATAAAGCCTTATCATAACAAGGGGGCATATAAATATTATATTTAAAACTATTTTTTAGTAAAAACTTTTGGGTAAATAAATACATGACCCTATGCTACATGTTACATGATTCAAAGATTCCCCATTCACTTTCCCTGATGCTAAGAAATGCTACAGCTTCTGAAAGATGGACAATGCGCTTGTATTGAGTGGTCAAAACACCATGAGATCATTGATAAGCTAACCCTGGCTGAGGTCATATTCTAGTTATTTATCAATTACAGTTTAGAGCACAGGGGATAGTGAGCTGTACTGTATGAGAAAGGGGGAGGACTGAAGGCTGAGCCAAATACTGTATTAAATTTACTCATTTACTTGGTGATACTAGGCACTGAACCTAGGCACTAAAGCTAGGGCCTCATGCATGCTATATCACGCAGTAAACCCTTGCTGGATCCATTTGTCCTCCGTTTTGAGGCAGGGTCTCACTATGCTTCCCAGATGGACTTTGAATTTTCTCTGCAATCCAGTCTTTGAATCTGTAATTCCTCTGCTTCAGCCTTTGAGTAGCTGAGATTACAGGCTTATAACACCAGACCTACCAATATACTAATAAGCATTATATTTTTATGCCTTTTATTGATTTTTAAATAAATAATTACAACACAAATAATAAAGAAGTTGAGAAAATAAGGAACTGATAATATAGAAATATACACATTCTCCAAGCTTCAAATGTTTTCAAGTATGTAACATAGTAAGAAATAGAACTAAGATACGGCAGAGGAAAAAGTGATAGGAGAATAAAATTCCAAAACTAAATCTATAACAAATATGTTAATTAGCTACAAAGTGCCAGGCAGTGCAGAGTTAAAGATTCTTGAAGGTATTAATAATCATACTACAAGAGATGGAATGTTTTTACAGATAACTTTTGTATATATAGATAAGTTTTTAGATAAGGAAAAAGGGAGAAAATTTAGGATGAGAGACTTGCCTACTTCTTGCATTATTTCTTCTTCATAGAAAAAAAAAATTTCCCAGAATTTGCATTCCCTTTTTGACAATTAAATAGTGGAAGTAACAGTCTCCATTTTCCATCCAGGAAGCAGAGTAATTAAGATAATCTCAAACCTTAACTGACTATCTAAAGTAAGAAAGACAAACTATCCAGGCGCCTTTGTAGAGTAGCCAAATGCATATAAGATTTTCAGATCTCAACTTAGCTGAGTCATCAAAGAATTTTATCTGGTCTTGCTTATCCAGGACTATCAGTCAAGGGCTGCCTGGCTCCTGCTGAGTATTCACAGCGTCCATGACAACAGTTCCTATTGTGTTCTTAGAGAAGGCTGCATTGCTTGTCAATAGTAACAGTTGATTTCTCTATGGGTTATCTTTTTTTGCTGTTGTTCAGGAATTTACATGGTAAATATAGGTCATTATCAACAAAAAGGGCTGACTATCTTCTGGCCATGTAAGCAAACATTCTATGCTCAAGGCCCACATGAAGTGAAGTTCTGCGGGCCACCCACTGACAAAGCCACAAGGTAATCTCTAAAAGACTGCCAGACACTCTGTGGTCCAGGAAAGGTCCTCATATTAGGAGCCTGTTCCCCTGTGTCCAGTGCCTGGAACTTAATCTTCCTTCTCTTGCGGTACTAAAGGATATATCCGATTCTCCAGGAATTTGACATTGGAGAAATGCACCTCAGCATTGGAGAAATGCTCTCAGCATTTCCA